TTTCCTATGGAACAAAACCAGTACTTTTACTGGAAATCACAAGTAAATCATTTCAGGACACTATGAGCAAGTAAAATATATCACTTAATCATTTCACAGAAATGGTAAAGAGAAAACATTTGAAAACATTCAAAACACAGTCCCTTAGCGGGGTGTAGGTGGCTCACACCTGTAATCCTAGCTACTCAGGAGACTGAGATCTGAGGATCATGGTTCAAAGCCAACCTGGGCAGGAAAGTGCATGAAACTCTTATCTCAAACCATTAGAAAACCAGAAAGGGGGAGGGGGGAGGATAGAATGGGAAGGGGAAACAAAGGAGGAGGCTACAATGCTTGATACGAAATGTACTCATTATCTTGCTCATGTAATTGTAACCCCTCTGTACAGTATTTTCACAATTGAAAAAAAGAAAAGAAAAGAAAAGAAAACCAGAAGTGGCACTGTGGCTGAAGTGGTAGAGCTCTTGCCTTGAGCTTAATTGCTGAGGGACAATGCCCAGGCCCAGAGTTCAAGACCCACAACTGAAAAAAGAAAAACAAAAACAAAAACCAGTCTCTTGACAGGCACCAGTGGCTCATGCTTGTAATCCTAAGTATTCAGGAGGCTGAGAACTGAGGACTGTGGTTGGAAGGCAACCTGAGTCTGTGAGACTCTGATCTCCAGTTAATGACCAAAACAGGCAGATGCAGCACTGTGGCTCAAGTGGTAGAGCACTAGCTTGTGCAAAAAAGCTCAGGCACAGCACTCAAGCCCCAGAACTAGCACTAAAAAACTAAGAAACAAACAAAGCACTCCCTATCATTGTAAAAGACACATACCATGCTTTCTTAGCATTCAAAGAAACTTTACCAAAACTTATTTATTGCTGAAAAAAAATTAAAATTGTTTGAGGCCGAAATTTGCTGAATTGAAGCCACATTTCTTTGTGGCTACCCTGCCTTAGTTGACACCACAAACAAAATGGATGCCTGGAATCTTAGCCTAACTGGCCAAATCAAGGGAGAACATAACAAAGGCAGGAAGGTGACCATGTTGGAACAACTCCTAATGATCCTTCCAGTGAGGAGGAGATGGAAAGAAAGGGGAAAACTCAGCCAGGTGGGCAGACGAATGGAAGAAGAAAAATAGGAAGGGTTGATTTGGCAAGCCTTCCTACTGCATAAAGCCTTAGCCCAACGGAAGCTTCTAGGGGAAGACTTCAGACACAGAAGCAACCCTAGCAGAGGGTATGCATAAATGGCATATCCATCAACATGGCTAATTCAAGCCAAATCCTACTTAAATCTTACTGGATTGAACGTGTCACTATTAATACTGTCACTATTAATACGCCAGTACCTTCTCCAAGGATCTCTTTTGTTCCATAGTTTTTTGAAGTGCTGCCTGAGTGTGACTTGTGGCTTTGCCAAGTACTGCCTAAGGAAAAAAAAAAAGAACAAGAAAATAAAAATTAAGGGGGCAGGGAAGGTGGTAGAGTGTTTGCCTCGCATGCATGAGGCCCTGGGTTTGATTTCTCAGCACCACATAAGCAGAAAAAGCTGGAAGTGAGTGGCATTGTAGCTCAAGTGGTAAAGCACTAGCTTTGTGCTGAAGAGCTGAGGGACAGTACTCAGGCCCAGAGTTCAGGGCCCACTACCAGCAAAAAAAAAAAAAATAATAATAATAAATTAGAAGTTAAATGATTCCAACATTTAAACTAAAATTCACATTTTCTTTTCCTTTCCTTTCTTCTTTCTTTCTATTTTGTGAGTACTGAGGTTTGAAATGCAGACCATATGCTTGCTTGCTCTGTTGGCATTCTTCCACTTGAACCATGCCTCCAGTCTGGTTTTTGCTGGTGATAGAGTGTAGCAAACTTTTCTGCCCAGGCTGTCCATGAACCATGATCCTCTAGATCTCAGCCTTTTGAGTAGCTTACAGGCATGAGACACCAATGTCATTTTGATATAATAGTCCAGGCACCAAGGAGGCTGAGGCATGAGGATTGAGAGTTTAACACCAGCCTGGGTTATACAGTAAGTTTAAGACTAGACTGGGACACATATCAAGTCTCTACCTAAAAAGAAAAAAAATTGAGACGAGACTTTTGAAGACTAAATCTTTTTTTTTTTTTTTTTTGTCGGTCCTGGGACTTGAACTCTGGGTCTGGGTACTGTCCCTGTGCTCTTCAGCTCAAGGCAAGCACTCCACAGCGCCACTTCTGGTTTTCTGGTGGTTT